AAGGAGCGCGGGCGAAATATCCATTGGAAAAGGGTTCCCCAAAACATTGTCCATGTAATAATGCTGATGCGCGGCATCCATTACAACAAATTGCATGTCCTCCGAAGGCTTCCAATGCCTTTTTCTCTGGTTAATGAACCAATTGTTTATTTGCTTCTGGTCAAGCCCGGTTGACTCGGCCAGTGCCAGCTTCTGGGACTCCTGTTTAACGCCGGCATTTATCGAACAAATATATTATTAAACCAATTCAAGAAAATCATACAAGGCCCTTTTAGTGTAAAATTGCTAAAAACAATCCAACTACAAGATTACAAAAAAAGCTCTTTGGAAATTTTGGTTATCTACTCGAACAAGTTCACACTGTATTGCTATGAAGAGACAAACCTCGAGGATTGCTTAAGAATGTAATTCGGAAAGATTATTGGGTCATTTTTGTAAACAAGAAAAAACTCGGGGGATCGAGGAGCAATGAGGAAAAAAACTCAAATAACAAGATCTGACGCGTGCAATTTCCAAAGAAATTAGCAACCCCCCAAGCTAGGGTTTTTATAGTGTTATTGCTAAAAAAAACCCAACAATTTCTAAATATTACAAAAAGTAATGGAATGTTGGTTCAAGTCAACAAGTTCACACTGTCTCAAGGGTTGCTATTGATCATTTTGTAAACAATAAAAAACTAGGAGGTCGAGGGGCAATGAGAAAAAAACTCGAACAACAAGATTTGATGTGTGCAATTTCTCAAGAAACAGGCACCTTCCCAAGCTAGGCTTTTTAGTGTGATTGCTAAAAAAACCCACCTATTTCTGAAAATTACAAAAAACTCTTGGAAATTAGTGGATCATTATGTAAACAAGAAAAAACTCACAAAAAAAACCTTCGAAAAGATTGAAGTTCCGAAATCGACTGCCTCAATAATTATAAGACTAAATAAATAAAGAAGAATGAAATTTAACAGAATTATGTGTAAAACACTTACAGAGGGGTATGGCCACTTGTAATGCCGGCTCCACCAGTCGAGCAATTGCTGCCGAGCCTCCTTTGGAAGCTTCCCTTTCTTCCTTTTCTTCATAAACTCCTGTTTGAGACTTCCTAAGTATCCACTATATTTTCGTAAAAGCTGACCTTTGAGCTCACGGTCTTCGGCTTGAGGGTCGATGAAATTGTTGTTCACGTCAAGTTCTTCCTCAGATGAGCCGTTTTTTTCCATTGCTTCTGCACAAACTGTCGATTAGAATTAAACAGTAATATAATTATTAAAAATAAAAAATAAGAAGCATAACCATATTCCCAATGAGAACAGATAAATAGGGAGGAAAGCTCGACTCAATTTGGTAGCTAGCTAGCAACAAATTTTTATAATTTATCAAATGAACCGTTTTGAGAATTGCAAGACCCAAATAGAAAGTCGTGGACACAATACATCTCAAGACGATAAGTAAAGGTAAAATCTCAAGATATTGAACAAGTAAAAAAAAAAACAAGTAATATATGGGCAAACATGTGAAAGCAGAAATATTGGTGAATTTCATTCATTGCCCCAACTGTAACTATAATTGTTTGCATGCAAATTGCAAATTATGAATGGTAAATGGCTAACTAATTTAACCTTAGATGAAAGATGAGGAGCAAATAACTTCAATTTCAGATTGTTATTCATCGTGTAATCTAGTAAATCAATGGTGCACGCACAAGCTCAGAGATCGATCAAAATTCATTTTTTTTACCTCTTTCAAAAGCCAAGATTTTATACCATTTTTTGGCAGAAATAAAACACAATATAACTGAATTAGGGCTTCCGGAGAGAAGTCATAATCAGATTCATTCAACATAAGAAAAAAATAAATTAATTAAAGAAATAAAAAACATTAATCTTTTACATGCAAAAATAAAATGCTTTGATTAGACTCATGAGATGAACCTAGATTACACTGGGTTGTCCACAAAATATTCACAAGCAACACANCATCGAATGAATAAATCTGGAAGAGAGAGAAAGCCCATTAAACAATGCCAGAAACTCCATTTGGAAAACACACACACTATGCAAACCAAGAAGACCAAAAACATCTCCATTTTCTAGGAAAAAACATGCACATGCAAAACATACACACAAAATCAAGAAGCTAAATCTAACTTTAAACAGTGAGATCCAAACAGAATAAATGCAAAAACAAACACATCACAAAACACAACACAACACAAAATCAAGAAAAATAGAGATAGAAAGAGAGTTTTCAAAAAAAAATAAAAAATCACCAGAACCAGAAGAGGGTGAGAGTGTAAGGGCCTTCAACTGGCTTTCAATCCTCGAGAGAAAAACCATGGCTTCCTTAAAGGGCTTAGAGAGTTCTTGCTCGTACTTTATCAGCATCTCACAGTAGGCTTCCATGAACTGGTCGAGCGACGGGTCTTCCCCAACGCTGCTTGTCCCGTGGCGGCCGCCCATCGCCGCCGCCGACGCGCACGCCTCCTCCAGCTTCGCCACCACCTCCGGCGGCGCACCTATCTGCACAAAGGCCCTCCACAAGTTCAAATTTATACTTTCCCTCAGAAGGGTTTTTCAATTTTTTTACAATTGAGAAAGAAAAGAACAAATCTTTGGAAACCCTATCTCAAGAAAACCTTCAAATGTAAGTAAAGAAAGGACTTTTAGTCAACCCATTGTTCAAGACTGCATTTTTTAATTCCAAGAACGTTTATTTTTCTTTATAATATTAGTACACTTTTCTTAAAGGGTTCTTAAATATTTGATTAATAAACCAATTTTAATTAAAAAAAAAACTATCCAAAACATGGATTTTTAAATCACCCACTATTCAAGATTACATTTTTATTCCAAAAACCACAAATATCAGTACTCCTTTTCAAAAGGGTTTTCAAATACACCAAACAAGAAACAATTTTTCGAAAACCCTATCTACCGTGAACCTTAGAGATTGAACAAATTATAGATTTTCAATCCAAGATTACATTTTATTCCAACAAAGTTTTTTTTATTTTCTTCATGATTGATAATATTTAGTTTTACCTTCTGACAATTAGCGTAAGCAGACAAGAGACGATGGTAGTGAGGATGAGCCATGATCTTGGCCTTGGCGGCACAGTTTCCCGCCTCATTTGTGTTCTCCATAAAATAATACCCAGTGCTCGTGTTGTTATTACCATGATTTTGGTGATCTTCAAGCATCATGCCGCCGCCGCCGCCGGCCGCGGATCCGCCGTCGCGGTTAAGGTCTTGGTTGGCCGGTAATGGGAGAAACAAGGTGTTTCCACCGTCCGGCGGCTGAGAAGAAGGAGCCATCTGAGGAATCATAATCGTGGGAAAAAACCCATTATTGTTATTATTGTGGCTCTCTCCGAAAGCCATCAGACAAGAATTGCCGGCTGAGCCACCACCGCCCTCCATTGTTTTCTCTCTCTCTCTCTCTAAATTCTTGCCTTCTGCGAAAAATAAAAAATAAAAAACTTGGAAAATTTATGATATATATGAATATGATATTGTGATGTATCTACTCACTAACTCTCTCTTTCTTGTTTCACCACACGCATAAGCAAAAACTTTTTTGTATTACTCTCTGTTTTTTTTTTAAATTTATTTTTATTATTGGTTTTTTTTTTTTTCTGTTTGGTTTTCTCTTTTTGAGTAAACCTACGCAGGGGCCTCCCGAGTTTTGTGCTTACTAGTTCAGCCTTTTTACAGGAAAGAAAAGAAAAAAAATCCTAAGAGAGATGAGTTGTTGCTTTCGTGGTTTTTGAAGTTTGTGGTAGTGTGTGTCTGTGTGTGTTACAGTTTGATGAATGAGTTTTTTTTTTTCTTTATTTCTTTTTGCTCCTTTGGCTTTCTGAAAAAAGTTGCCCTCTGCTTAAGTGTTTTTTGTTTTATGTTTTTATCTTTTTTGGCCTTGTGAAATTGAGGTTCTTTGTTTGCGATTGTCACTTAACTTAAGCTATAAAGCCTTGTTTTTTTGGAGTTACTTGTAATGGGAAAGAGAGAGAAAGAGAGATTTTTGCAGAGTGCACGCGGTGTTTAGGAGGGGTAGAGAGAGAAAGTTTGCCTATTGTGTGTGTATATGTGTGTATTTCTGTTTAGGATTTTTTAAAGAAACAACATGGCTAACGTTAGGCGGACCTATACTCCAATACTTGGTTCGCTTTATTCGACTTTATCAATAGAAAAAAAAAATTTATATATATAATTTTCTGTAATTCATCTTGCTAAAATTCATGTTTTACTCGTAGAAGAGTTAAACTAAATTTGATTTGACTCATTAACTTATTGAGTCCAGTCGAACTTGACCTTCAATTACATTCTTAAGCACACCTAATAGGCTAGGGCAATTGGATTAATTTTTTGAATACACATGGATTTTGAAATTGGACTGCTATGCTTTGAGAAAAATGTAAATAATAATATAATATTTAATGTTATAAATATGAATTTTAATTAAAAGGATACACATGGATTAATTTTTTGAATACACATGGAGTATAACAAATGGACTCATTTAATGGCGAAGCAGTTCGGCTGTAATTCGACTGTAAGTTTAACAACATTTGTTTAATAAATTCGTGATTATTTAATAACAGGGGATTGCCCGTGTTTTATCTTTAGATAGCTTTTTTTCTTTTACCTTCCCAATGAAAACTCTCGCTTTCTTTTCTTTCACTGCCACTGAGCCACTGCCATTACTGGCAAAAACTAGAGAGAGAGAAAGAAGCTTTTGGAATTCTTTTGTTTGTGTGTGTGAGAGAAAGAGAGATAGGATTAAATAATAATATTAATTTTATAAAATTAAAAATCAAAGAAAAATAAATGAGAAGAAAAAACAGTGATGAACGATCAAATCGAGGTATGGTTTGGTTAGGTGTGTGTGTATGGAGATTTGATTTTTGGGGCACGAAATTAAAAATAAAAATGTGCAAATAAAAATTTAATTAGTAGTATTGAATTTGTTGTTATTTTATTTGGTACTGCCATTTTACAGGTATTGAGCTATTTTGTCCACTCTTTTTTTAATATTCGCTTTTGTATTGTCGTCTTCATCTTTAACCCTACCATCTCATCAATTTTTTCTAGCTCCATAGACTTGACGTGTGAAATGTGTATTTAGGGTTTTAATATTTAATCGTAGGCTTAATCTATGATTGATGTGATGTTATTCTTATTATTTAGTGTTATAATAATGAGTTACAAGGAATTAATCTGTACCTGTCTTGTTGAAACTCATCACAGTTCATTTCTTTTGATAATTACAACTCAAAAGTGAATATTGTACCAAATTTTATTTTTGGTACACTTGTTTCTATCTAAAAAAAGATACATCAATTTAGTGTACATCAAGTTTGATTCTTTAATTTGTTAAATGTATACAAACAAATGTACACAAATTATAAGGATGATATTTTTTTATTTTTTTTTTCATTTTGGCTCCGTCTTGCAACCAATTGGATAATATTATTAGGTTTTTTCTCGTCAATATAGTCATATTTATAATTTTTCAAGTTGCATACTCATTTTGATTGTTCTCTTTTTAGCAGATTTCCCCAATTTTTAATTCTTCTAGTCGAGACTGTCGTACTAACAATATTTCCACTGAAGTGGAGTTTATTTGTCAACTCAATTTCTCTTAAAAATTTATGTGCATAAACTAAATTTCGATTTTGCATCCAACCCGTGATAAATTCAAACAATTCAGCTTTTATTCTTACACAATGATATGAAAAATTGTATACAGATAATTAAAATAACAGAGTTTGTATGAACTTTTTNACCCTGTCATGTGGCTCCAATTGAGTAAAAATGGTACCAAGAAGTGCTCAATAAATGGTACTAAAATGTAAAAGATGACGAACTGAACAGAACCATATAGACAAATATGATAAAACATTGAAACATGATGCAGAAAAACTATTCATTTTGTGGTTTGTGGTGTCCCAAATATATTGAAAAAACATCCAATAATCTTATCCAGATTAAAAAACATGGGATCACAGCAAATAATCAAATATGACTTGTCTCATTCCAATTTACACAGGGAAAATGCCTCAAACAAATAACAATATTTTTCCTATTTGCCATTCCCTTAGTCCTGTTCTTGTTTTCCATATAGCTATATGCAATATATGAATGTGCATATATTTGATAATAATAAACAGAAATGCCATACAAAATTATTCCCTGTAAAAGAAAAAAAAAATTCGTTAATAAGAATTCAAAGTCACAATTTAGGAAGTAATGTTATTAACTAATAGAATTTATTTAATTGCCTAACCAATTTTATTTGACTATTGAATTGATTATGTAAAACTAAAAAATTAAAGGAGCTCCTTCATAAGATCAAATAGTGTAATAACTGTTGAAAATAGGAAGAGGGGCAATAATTTACCTGGAAAAAGATGAATATAACTGAACTTAATTTAAAAGCTGATGATTTGTGGGGCAGTGAAAATGTCCCTTCGGTTGTCCATTCTTGTTTTAATAAAATTTGATTTTTCATTTCCAATATTAAAGCATTGTAGAGAGTCGAGGAATCTCTTTTGTATTAACACTATTGTGTGGTATTTTTGTCTGAAAATATTCTGCTCAATTTTGAACATAACATCTCTTATGTAATGTGTACCATTAAATTATTTCCATAACTAATAACTCACGGTTAGGGTTGTACATATAAGATAAGTATAAAATTTACATATTAAATCTTTTTCATACATTTATAAGATAAGAAATATATATATATAATTTTTAAAAATTTAAAATTAACTATCCAATCAATTGACTCATTAATCCAACGATTGAACCGGTGATTTATAGGCTTTAATTTGGCGGGTCAAGTTTAAAAACATTGTTCAACTTAGTACAATATTACAACCTTACTTGAACAGAATTTGTAGTATCGAATTTTCAAGATAATGAGAATATAATAAAATATCAAAGAATTACATTGACCCCCCCAAAAAAAAGGTCATGGAATAAAGAATTGGCTAAATTGACCATAAGATTTTATTGACCCAATTAATAACAAANAAAAAATCAGTGGTGGAGATGAGATGATTGGGCTGCAAGATGAACAAAAAGGAAAAAGAAAAGAAAAAGGGAAATTATAGAATGAGTGGTTGATTGAATTCACCTGCTTCAGAGCATAGACAGTAAGAATAAAAATCTGTTCTTTTATATCAAAGGTTAGGCTTTCAGCAAATTTATTTGATCTAAGCCATTAGGGTTCAGGCTCTATTTGAAAGCTGTTACACACACAGAGTCCATATTTTTTTCACCCAATTATTACACTACCAATAAATCTGTACTTGGGACCATTAAAATATAATATTATTGTAAAGTATATGATCTTAATTGAAAAGAAAAGTAGCAGATTTTTACAAAAAGCTGAGGGAGAAGACTGAAGACATCACACAATTCACAAGTTATGTGAAAAACTGAAGTTTGTTTAAGCTTTTTTTTACAGCTAATTGATAACACTGTGTGTATAGTGTGTGTATGTGTGATATAAATAATTAAATAAATGTTTTTAAAAAAATATTGTACCTATATGAACTAGGGTTCTTCCAGGGATAGCTTTTCCGAGTAGTATTTGCTTTAAGTCTTGTCCATCACCAGTCGCCTCTCTCTGCCTATGATGAGAGATGAAAAAAGGAGGCCACATTTGAACAAGTAAAATATATGTATATATATTGTATATTTCGAATTTAATTCGGCCTAAGTTCGTATTGTAATTATTGAGGAAAATCAAAAATTTTGTTTTTTGTATTTTTTTTTTTTTCAAATTATTTTTTAAAAAATTTAGATGGAAAATATTGAAAAATATTTATTAGAATATCACTTGTATTGTCCTACATGAATTTTACATGATAAATGAGTTTAATTTATAAGTTTAGTGAATTTTTTTTTCTTATCATTAATTAATTTTAAGATGAAACATCACTAATAATAATAATTATAATAATTCGGTACAGTTCGATTTCAATTTTCCTTTCAGTTTTTGTGTGTGAACTCGATCATTCAACTATCGATACTTTTGAACTCCAATTTTATCTCGCACCCTCATGAGTCATGCTTAATGTATTTTTTATATTTTTAAAAAAGTAGTATACTAATTGTTAAATTTGATGTCACCCAAGCTTTTCTTAGTGGATAAAAAGATTAAAAAAAAATGGAAACTAAATACGATTAGTCGATTATAAAGTAAATTATCATATTTATCTGTTTTGTTTTTTCATATGACATATAATAGCGGACATCAATAAAAAAATATGATTGACAAACCCACTAACTAACATTAACGTTACAGATTGCTTACTTATTTTAATAGTAATAATTATGATCCTCGCTGGCAAAAACTAATAGCACCTTTACGAGTTAATCACAGCTTAATCTAATTTGTAAAAGATTAACAGAAAAAAAAAAACAGAATCCCTTTTTGGTGGCATGTTTAATTAAATTAAAATACTTTGGCTGGAATCTTGCTATTAATCTTGAAGGAAGGTTACAACTTACAACTTTCAATCATGAACAAAAAAGAGAAGTTTTTAGTTAAGGCCCTTTTAATTAAGAACTCTTTTGGTTTTAGTGAACGCTTTCTTGGTCTTTGCATTGCAATTATCAAATATTGACTTACTTTATAGTTTCTACTTTTTGTTATTCAATTAATTTAATTAATAAATAAACTTTTCATTTGCATACCTTAATCACACAAGTTATTGGTAGCTTATGGTCCATAAACCCACTTAAAAGCCCCTCTGCTCCGTTTCTCTATAAGTGGATTTTTTGGAATATGTAATTATTGGTCAATTAGGCTTAATCACATTCACAACCACCCTACAAAGGGCGAATCAAATATTCATATACACCTTTTTAAGTGTATATTAATCCGACTACAA